TGGATGGGCGTGGCTGTGGTCATGGCAGATTGGGTGAGTGTGGCCAAGGTGGGCGTGATCACCTCAATGTTGCTTGTGGGGAGGGACGTCTATGGGGCTGGGCAGGGTTGGGGGAGATCCAGGGGGCCTATGGCAGGTGGGGCGGTGGGCAGGAGGCTTGTCTTGCGGGGTGAGGCGAGGCAAGGCAAAGAAGGGCGGGGGTGCCATTGTCACAGGGAAAGGTGAGGCAGAGGCCGGGGCAGCTGCTGCCTGACACCATCAGCCCCTGCACACAGAGGCCAGCGAGTGCATGGGTGCTGGGATGCATCAGGCCATGTAGGACCTCAGCCAGTTAGGGGTGGCTGGTTGAAGAGAGACGGTTGCCACCTCCGGGGCATGGCATGTGTGCCCACAGAGAGGGCTCTGAGTGCCACTTCTGGCACATGTGTCATAGGTTTGCCACCACTGCTATAAACAATAGTTACTGAATTTTAAAAATGTGATATTTTGAACTTGAAATACTAGTTTACTATTACATTTATATAACCAACTTTTTCTGGATCTTCAAAAGTGATTTGTATTATATTAAATGTAATTATCATAAAGGATATTTGTATTGCTCCTTCTTATGGCATGCAAATGATTTAACAGTCTGACAGAGCTGAAGAAATCCTGCTCTTTGCAATCACTTTCATCTTTTTTAATTTTTTACTTTTTAAAACATTTCTTTGGTTTTACCTTATATTATAGGCAGAAACAAACTCAGCATGCCTCATTGTAAAACATACAAAAAAGTTAACAGTGCAAAAACATAAAGACTAATGGTGTCAAATATAAACCAGGGATGAGGACATATCAGCATCTTTTTTATATCTCTTTTGGATTTCGCTTTGTTGTGTGCAGGGGTAAAATGGAAGTATGATCCGTTTTTAAATTCATGCAGTTTTTAACAAACAGCTAATTTACCCAACTCTTTTATTTTGCACAGCTCATGGTGAACATGTTTACCTTCTTTCAGTGAAGACCTCCAGGCATACATAACTTAGTGAACACATTAGGAACAACACTTGACAAGTTGTTGAACAGAATATTTTTATATATTAATATGAGGTAGGCCCACTGACAGCTGAAAGTTCACACAGTCATACACACACACACACAAAATAAAGTTGCACTCCAGTTCTCAGAACGGGGTATCTTTCAAAATAGCCAAAGTAGAAAAGAGAATTCTGTATTGAGGTCCAGCACCAATGGGCTGCAGGCATTTGTGGTTACGTGGAATTTATTCTACATACATTTCCTCAGCATCTTGGAATCAGTGGTGGAAAACATGAATTAAGCAGACTAAAATTAGTAATTGGCTTTTTAGCAGAAGCTCTGTCCATCAGAGACCAATGTTGGCTATACTGGGAAAAGGTACTAAAGGTATGGAATCAGTTCCCTAAGATAAAATCATGTTCTAGGAGTGTCTTACTTGCGTTGTCTCAGTGAGTAATTAAAATATTTTTTATACTTTACTAAATGTAGATTACTATTTACTAAATATCACCAGTTGTATATAAAAACAGATTGCCAAGGAGAAAATCTATGAAGTCACTAATAGACAATGCAATCTGATATCACATAATCAACCAATCAATTGTACATATAGGTCTCTTGCCAAGGGATCATAAACAGGCAGTCTGCACCAAGTCTTAACACTATCAAATTTAACTCAACCAAATGTTTGCATGTTAAAACAGTTTGCTTAGCTTCGATTCTAAGAAAGAGAGTGGCATTACACTATGGCAGAGCAGACAATTCTACTGAGATGCAGCAACTCAGTAACTGTTAACTCATAGCCTTATAAAATTGTTGTGAGGATAAAATGGTAAGGAAGGAATTATGTATGTCATCTTGAGTTCACAGAATAAAAAGCTGACATGTAAAGATAAATGTACAATAGAAATATTACATACTTGGCAATAATGTCTTTGTGAATAATATTCCAGAGTATGTGTAGTATGGAGCTGCTTTCTAAGTGTTGAAAATTAAAGTTATTATTTTGATTGGCCACTTCATGAGTGATAAAACTCACTTTTCATTCCCAAGTCAGTAAAGGGAAAATTTTTCATCTTGACTCTATGCCATAGGTGGTTGTGTCCATTTTTGATAAATCTGTCTACCTCTACTACTTGCAAAATATAAATCTAGGACTTCTGCCATCTGCTACCAAGTTAATTCTAAGTATCTCATCAATAAATAATTCTTTCTCTTCTCTCAGTCCATGCACTCACCCTATCCAAGTCCTTGAAAGATGAAAAAAAATCTTAGGAAAAAAATGTGACGTGATAAAATTCATTCAGCTCTAAAAATAATTTTCCCCAGTTATAACAGATAGACAATGGAGATGTCCTATGTATCTTCTAGGCATGTAGGTTGACTGATTTTCTTTCCTTCACAAGGAGGCTGTATCTTAAGTGTTTGGGTTATAAATCCCCATTAAAAAGAATTCTAGATATTTCATTCATTAGAATTATTACAGGTAGTCCTCAACTTACAACACTTCATTTAGTGACCATTCAAAATTACAATGGCACTGAAAAAAGTGACTTATGACCATTTTTCACACTTATGACCTTTGTAGCATCCCCATGATCATATGATCAAAATTCAAATGCTTGGCAACTGACTTATATTTATGACGGTTGCAATGTTCTGGAGTCATGTGATCTCCTTTTGTGACCTTTTGACAAGCAAAGTCAATGGGGAAGTTAGACTCACTTCACAACTGTGTTACTAACTGAACAATTGCAGTAATTCACATCATCGGTGGCAATTAAGGTCGTAAAATGGGGCAAAACTCAATAAATAACTGTCTTACATAGCAACAGAAATTTTGGGCTCAACTGTGGTTGTAAGACGAAGAATATCTGTATTATATTTATTTATTATACTGCCTGAGGAGGGAATCTATATACTACTATAACTCTTGTATCTGTTTAATTATTTTGTAAGCTTCAATTGGGCATTTTTTTTTAATTAATGCTATTTCAAATGAGGTAAGTAAACCCTAACCCATAACTCCTTTGGGATTGAAATTTGGCAAAGTTGTGGGTGGTTCAGTGTTGCAATAGTCATCTGCTGTTAAATGATGATAATTACCAATTGTCCCGACTAGCTTCTATAAGTAAAGACAATGGGAAAAATGGCAGGAAGTTTGAATTTGCTTCTCTTCCCATTGCTTTTTTGCCTGGTCCTGGCAATTATATTTCTCTGTTTAGGTGAGGAAATACTTCTGAAAGGAAACACAACTGGTCACAACTTGACTCGTAAAAAAATAAAAAGAAAAACATCAGGTAACTTTGTATAAATTAAAAAAATTAAAGTTTTGCCTCGGAGAAGGAATATATGCATGCATACATAAAATAACTGTCAAGGCTTAAAGATAAACCCTGAAATTTAGAATGATTAAAACGCTGTTAGAACAGAGGCCTGCATAACTCAAATAATTACAAGTAATTATTTGGCAAGGCTTGATTTTTTTTAAAAAAAATGTTCCTGAATTGCCAAATGAATTGCAAAAAAGTAGGAACTGTAATAAAATGAATGTGATCAGGTCATTGAATAGTGGAAAGAGAAGGAAATTTGGAACAGAAAGAACTGGGCTCTGCTGATCAAAAGGAGAATGGACATGTGGAAACTCACACGGGAGCATTAGACAGATTTAGAGTTGAATAACCTGAAAGCTACTAGTTTCCCTTGGTCAGAATTGAAAAAGATGGAAGGAGAAACAGTGTAAGTATGAATACCAACCTTATCCTAGTCTTCCAATGAGAGTTAAAACATAGTACGTCTAAGTAGTCACAAAGTAGGGAAAGGTTTAAACTAATCAAATGGCTGAGCAATACTCACACTTTATTAAAATAAAGTTGAAGTTGTCATCATTTCAGGTAAAGGATTTTATAAATATCTGTACATTTTTTTTAGCACTGTGACATGTGTGTTGTTCTATTCTTAGAAATTTTGTTGCTGTTATACACATAGCATTACATTTCATTTTATTGCAGATAAGCTCTCTCAGATCATTCCATTTTAGCTACCAAAGTTTTTAGCAAGCATTTCCAGAGTGGAACATTTTCTGGCACAGCATATGGAATTGGAACTAACGGCGCAAGTGGAAATAAGGTGCTGGAATTCTATTTAGAGCTTCATGAGAGGGTGGAGGATATTTCCTCATCGGGTTCTAAAAATGTAACACGAGTAAATTTTATATTGCCATCTTCAGTTCTGAGTCGGCACACACCCCTTCTACCCAATCATGCCACTTCCCCAGGGAATGGAGAAGGTCTTTCCTCAGGCCATTCCAACAGCTGACTTACAGACAGAACACAACAAGGAACAGATATAAACCAAACCAAACACAAGAATATCTCTAACAGCTATTGAAAACCCATTTCGATACAAAATATATGCATGCATACATAAAAGGAATATATGCATGCATACATAAAATAACTGTCACTTCGAATTTGGCAATTCATGCTCAACATCTATCTGGGTATCTATCACTTAATAATTTGACTGGGGAGTCAAAAATATATGAGACTCAAAAACAATTTATGTTGTAATTAAGTGCCATAGTTGAATCCAAGCATACTGATACCACTGGAGCCAGAATAACAGAATGTAATTTTATTGCTGTCCTTCAGTTGCTAAATATATTATATAGCTGCCTATTCTTTTTTCCTTTTAATGGCATACTTTCTACTCTGAGCAGCTTAGGTCTGATCTTCTCATGGAGTCAAATGGGGAATCTCTTTGAATTAATGCCTTTTTTCCTCAACTCCTTGCTTCCAACTGTGTTGCAAATTACAACTTGAGAATGCTCAATGGACACAGCAATTCCAACAGATTTGGAAGACACAGGTATGGAGGGAAATTTAAATTATTACAAGAAGTAAATAATTACTATAATTACAGAAAGAAAATGTCCAGGAAGATGTAAAGAAAGATGTATGTTTTTAAACATAAGAACTTACCACTGTGGGATTGCCGCTGCTTATCAACTGGCTGACTTCATGAAAAATGCTCTTGCAGTCAATTGATTTGTCTAAAGACCCTCGTTTCACTATTACTGCTACTGCTAATAATATCTGTTCCCGCACATATTTCTGGAGACTGCAAAGTAAAATATAAAATATATTCAGCACTGATCAAGATGATCACATTATTGTTTACAAAGCAAGAACACACAAACTCTTCTTAGTTGTACTGCTTTTAGAAAGCAGGAATGACTGGGCTAATTGTTTATAGAATTCTTTCGTCTTCTGCTGCCTTGAGTTTGGTTATCTTGCATTGTTAGGATAATTAAATATAGTTTTTCTTATAAGCCAGGAAGAGGGAATCCCTGGCATGTGGATGGGATGTAGCCTGCCAGCCTTTTAATTTAGGCTTTAGCATCCTCACTGTCCTAGCATTTAATTTTTTTCTGAGTGGAGGCAAACGATTCCCCTTGCAGGCAGAATTTATGGATATAGGAAAACCCCATCTTCTGACATTTTCGGGCAGATTCCTATTCTGACCCAGAGGCTGAGGATAATTCCCCTGAACACAGAAAAAGTAGTCCCTTATTACATATTTAAGGGAAGGGTGGAACAACCGGTTCTTTCCTCCTTGCAAGAGAGGCTGAAGAGTGTCAGGGAGAGGCAATGAATGAATGTCAGACTGACATTTCCCAACCCCAAATGCCACCTGGTCTTCTAGCCATAGGAGGCTGTTGGGGGAAACGGGGAACATCTAGTTTTTGGGCCAGATTCAGTTCATATCCTGCAGCATCCCCTGTGTTACATCTCCAACAATAATTTATACAGTTCATATTCATGACACAGTTTGTACTTTTATTTATTAAACTGTTATACAGTGACTATGGAAATCACATGGCTGTTTACAACCAACTGTTTTATCTGGCTGAATTAAATTCTAGAATGGTTACACCTGTTCATTTGAATCAGGAAGTAGATTCAGCCCTAATGTTAGCTATTTTGCTTATTGGCTTTCAAATGTATTTTTAGACTTAGTGAATTGTTTTAATGTTTTTATTCATAGCAGTTATAGCTGAAACTGCAATTTGTAATCAGCAGCAGGTTTTTCACTTTCTGGAGTTCATTAAAATAGTTAACAAACATTTTCTTGGAAGATTAATCGTATTTATTAAAATAAAAAATGGAATTTGATTATAAAAATTTAGCATTTGGATATGTTTATTTTAGCACCCAATTTGTTTTCAAAGTTTGTTAAGATAGAGCTTTCTTGATCCTTTTGCTTACTAACCACTGAAATGCAGGGGAAGCAGCTATCTGTTCTCCTGATAAAGGAAAAACATGCAACTGTTCTGTACTTATAATATTTTGCAAATTGCCATCTTCTTTCTCAGACTCCAAGAAGCCTATTATGATATCTATGAGATGAAGAGGCATATGTTAATTAATCATATTTTATGTAAGACTAAGATGACAATATTACTTAAAGACAAGGATCTTACTCATTTTTTTTCTTCCCTCCTTTAAGCTGCTCTTGTGCATCATTCAAAGCTTCACTGGAACATAGAACAACCCTCTCAAATTGTATCTATATTGGAGAATGCTTCAACTGAATTTGGGCAATCTCTCCTTTCATGCAATGTCCCTCATTGTACAGACAATTCTAAATCACTGGATGGGCTTCTACAGAGGAATCAATGAACGCCAAAAACACAATAAGCAAAACCTCCAGGAGGATATGACTGTCCTGTTACTTTTAGAGTGGTCCTACCAAGTGTGAAAACATCCCTTCTAATTTACACCAACTTCTAGAAAGAATCTCAGATGTCCAAACAACCAACAACAACTACTAACATCTAAGTGAACATAAGTTCTTTTATATCACATACACCAGAGATCTCCAACCTTTCCAGGTTCGCGGACCGGAGAGAAGGAGAACAGCTTCAAAATTGGTGGGTGTGTGCATGTGCGCACGGGGCCATGCACACTGGCGTGGCACTAGCAGCCCTGTTCACACATGCGGCATGTACTGGCGCCATGCGCAAGGGGGAACAGCCGCACCCCCCCACGGTGAGTAGCCCGTTCGCACATGCACAAACGGGCCACAGACACTTGCCTCGTGCTAGCATCCCTACTTGTGCCCATATGCAAACGGGGCCACAGGCACTAGTGCAAGTGGGGGGGAATGCATGCCCACACGTGCATGCACTGGCCAGCCATTTCTGCAGGCCGCTGGCCAAGAGCCCATAGCCCAGGCCCAGGACACGGCCCATAGGTTGGGGACCCCTGACGTACACCAAGTGCTCTGTATTCCAATTAATATTGTCTCTGGAATCATCCTAGAATGTCTCTCCATTACTTTTGACATGTTTTAAACTGGAAATTTCAGGGACAGAAATTTCCCCTTGTATGCAGCACTGACTCCTCCAGTAAATTATGTTTTCTTTGGCCATGAAAACAGAAGCCAATTCATTATGTGGATTTTATTTATTTCAATTGGGAAGTATATAATGTTCTTATTCAGGACACTTTATAAACATTTTATATCATGCTCTGTACTTACTTTGGCCTTTGTAAGACATACGTTAAAAGGAATGTTCGTAGTGATTCTATACTGCTTTTTTCCAATAGAATCCATTCTCGTACAACTGCTTCCATTATCGCTGTGGCAGCTTGAAAAAGGACATAGTCCACTTTACTAGTTTCTGTTAAAGAAATGCAGGTTTATAAACTCATAATCCATAGACAAAAGCTTGAAAAACATAACTGTAGGATACCTGTAAAAGTGTTATTTTTATTTATGTCCAAAATTATAGGCTGGATTTTAGGTCACTTTCTAAAGAGTTCATAGCAATTATAAACTCGTCTTTTACAACATTCAAAGACATCTATATATATTTTGCAGCAGATATAAAAACAATATAAAAATACATAAATCAACAGCAGAAACAACTTGTTGAAGCATCAGCATCAGCAAGTTAAAATTAAAAGTAAATAAATATTAGGCATCAATAAACGTTAAACCCAAAACAATTTTTAAAGGAAATGGTCAACATCAATGCAAAAAGCAGACACTTTTAGAGACAATTCTCCCAGTGAAAATCCAGTGGTGACAATATTCCGTACTATTTTGCTGTCCTCCAATTCAGTGTGTTAACACCACCCTAGCCACAATCATATACCCAGCCACTAAAAGATGATGCTGTTGTACTCAACTCCTGCAGCCAGCAAGAAAACACAAAAAAGAGGTCTGAAATCAGAAGATTCTATTCCAATAGTGTATAAGCTTTTCCTAAAAAGCAGGTACACCATTGTCTTTATCTATCTTCCCATTAACATTTTTCTATTATTAATATTTTTGAATGCTTTTGTAATTTCGTAACCACACTGTTTCAATTAAAATATAAAATATAGCACTTCTACAAATATTCCTCATTTAATGACTGGCAAGTTCATTGCTAATTGAAGCAATCATTAAGTGAAACATCACATAACTACACCTGACTCAATGATATCAGTTTCATTGCCGTTGTTCAGCAAATCATCCATAGCTATTACATACAATGTCACATGATTGCGACATGCTACTTGCTACCTGTTGGCTTTCCAACTGATTTTGCTTGTCCGAAGCCAGCTGTGAGGTCAGAAATGGAAATCATGTGACCACAGGATGACATCATATACGAGCCCCAGTTGCAAAGTGCATAAATCATGATCATGTGATTACAAGGACCTCGCAGTGGCAGTAAATTCAAGGACAAATTGTAAATCTACTTTTTTCCAGTGCTGTTGTAAGTTCAAACGGTTGCTGAATGAGACTGCTGTTAACTGAGGACTTCCTGTATTCTGTTAAACTTTATTTGGATATTTATTAAGTTTTCCTTATTAGCTCTAATTTCTTAAACATGTACTATCTCTCCAGTTTGGTTTTGTGATGATCTTTTAAATACTGCAAAACACTTTGTGCTTGATTCATGGAAAAGAAGGCAAGCAGTATTTTAAATCATGGTAGCTGCCACAGAAAAGTATAAATTAAGTGTCATAACTCTTAATATGGTGTAAGATTACAATTTCTGGAATCAGCTGTATTTGTACATTTAAATCAAACATCTTAGCCATATTTATATAAAACCAAGACTTATTAAGACCAATAAGGGTTATTTTCAAATTAACAATGCTTAATATGTGAATCTCTAAATCCACATCAACACTGCTAGAGAAAACAGTATTTTACGCATAGGGGGAACTATTCCCCCGCTCTGACTATTTTCAATTCTGGCCCTTTTCTGGGCTCTGTTGAATTCTTTTTCCAGGGCTTGGTGCCTTCTGATTGCCTGTTTATCTGCCTTCCTGGATGACTTCTTTACAGCCTTGATCTTGGAGGCTGTTGAAGCTTCGGAACCCTCTGAAACAGATACTCCTGAAGCTGAAGGCAGGGCTCCGGTGGAGGTCATGATCGCCTCCTCCATTCTCTACTAGCGTAGGGTCATGACAGGGGAACCCCAGTAGTAGGAAAAAAACAATTGCACTGGGTGTGCACCGGCGCACTACAGAGACGCCTGTCAAAACCCAGGCACAGACACTTCACTTGTCCGACTTAATTGTAATGCACGGATAACTCAGACACACTAATGGGGATACCCGGGATCCGGCTTTATTGCAGTGGGCAGGGACAGGCACACGACTGGGGATGCCCGTAAATTACCGCCAATCAATCCGGAAGCATACGGGCCACTAATGGGGAGCCCGAGGTCCGGACGGAGCCAGCAAGGAATTAGATTGTAATCAGGAGTTAATTAAAACCAAAGCTCCCTTTGTTTATTCCAGGCGAAGGGCACCAAGTCTTGGAAGGAGAAGTTATGAGTCTTAGGAATTCCTCTAGTATAACCCCTGTTATATGAATATTACTGCTCTAGTACTCTAGTATTGTGGTCTTAATACAATTTTATTTGTGCCGGACCGAGGTTTCCTTGCAAGAACTGGGTTCTAATTCCTTGCTGGCTCCGTCCGGACCTCGGGCTCCCCATTAGTGGCCCGTATGCTTCCGGATTGATTGGCGGAAAAAAATATGGCCACCGCAACTTGGAAGCTACTGCGCAGGTGCCAGGAATCCACCACACATGTGCAGAAGCCTCCCGCGCATGCGCAGAAGTCTCCCTTGTAGCCTACACCACGTGCACTTGAGACAAAAGACTACGCGTGCGCTGAGGTGCCCTGGTAATGGCAGCCCGTTTAAAACCCTGAGGAAGCCCTGGCAAGTTAAAAGGTGCAGCGTTTTGCCTTCCAGCTGTCTCGCATGCATCTCCCCTTGCCCTCCCTCTCCTTGCTAATCTGACCGCTTGCCTTTCTTATGTGTGGAGTTCCCGAGGGATTTCCGTTCTTTTAAAGGCAGCCGGTCTGTTTGATTCTTTTCTTTTTAAAAGAAAAGGAATCTGGAGTGGAGGGTTGGGGATTAGGTGAGGGGGGGGGAGGAGTTAGGGAATTCACCCCCTTTTAAACGAGGGTGGTTTTCCCTCTGGGGAATCTGAATTCCTAAATCCTACAATTTAGAAGAATTTTTTTGGGGGATATTTTAGAGTAATCAATTTAATTGCACTAATTAAATTAAGTTAGATTAACTCCAATCACCCTGAACCTAAGCAATCTCATCTACTAGCAGATAATCCACCAATGGAAAGAAACTATACCTGCCTAGGAGCCAAAAGTTGTACGTCTGTTCCTTGGGCGAGATCAGTCAAGACTGGGATCTCATGGTCCAGGACAGGAGTGGCAACTTTGGCTGACTGATCTGATTGGGCAGGAATACAGTCTCAACCCATAGGTGGATTATCCATCTCCAGTGCTGGAGAATCTCTAAATCCACATCAACACTGCTAGAGAAAACAGTATTTTACGCATATATCCGTAGCCTCTTTTACAAAGTTATATGATTATGAATTAATGGTACACTGATTGAAACATAGGACTTACCTAAAATATGTTTGCAAACTGCAAACGGCGATTTTGATTTTCTAAACGATAAAAAAATGTGTTCGGCGTGCTGACGTTGTTCGTTATTGACCATGGAGGGTGGTGCCTACAGAGAAAAAAAAGACTCTTTCTAACAATGGAATACAGAAAATTGCCATTTCTTATTCAAGTATATATCACAATAAAAAGCTTTTACTTTCATCTATGAAAAAATATTCCAAATTAAGGTAGTAATAAGGGAGTACCAATAATAAAGTAGCAACTAATTAATAAATCAGATGAAAGTTCATCACTTAATTAGTCCATTAAAGTATTCTATTCCAACCTGTTAATCCAATGCAGCCTGTACTATGTAACTAGTATCATTCGGTATGACAGTATAACAAGACAACTATACTTGGCTTACAAACTCTGGATGACAGCAAGTTCATAATAAAGAAATAAATACAGAAATAGTAATCCTTAGATAGATGAAAATCTAGCACTTATGTGCATTTTTGCAGATCAGACTATATTGATTTGTATAGCCATCCGTTTTGCAAATGTGACTTTGGAAGGTGAAAACCAAGAAACAATCAAATGAAAATAATAATGTCCAAAGAGTAAAGAACAACATTCCTAGAAATGGTGATATAACAGTAATAAGACTATATAATGGTAATTCTACGATGTGATTTTCAATAATACCCTGAAGGTGTGTTCAAATGAACAATTTAGTTGCATTCATCAAATCATCTCATTGCTGCTTTTCTCTTGGGTGGATGCTGTCCCAATGGGTAGATCTTCTTGGAAATTCCCACCAGCATAGCCGTGTAGAGAATTCTGGGGCTTGAAGCCTATACATCTGGTGGATACCCATACTAAGGAAAATTATTCTACTGAGATTTTTTTCAACACAGAAAAAGTAATGAAATGCCAATTTAAAAGTGGAAAAAAGCTCTTTCTAACTCCAATATTATGAACGTATCATCTTACTTGTAAGGAATGTTGGATCGGTTACAGATGTATTTGTTATATTATGACATATTAATTTATTAAGGCAACATGGGTACAGTATGATCATTATTGTGATTGTGGTATTTTATCTTCGATGTTTTTTTATTAGCATCTCACAAATCCAATAAGCAATCAAATAAGATATACCAATAACTCATAGTTCTACAAATAAACTCATTTTTATCAATAATGTGCAAATAATTAAGATTAAGATAATCTTTATTGTCATTTTCCTGTATACACAATGACACACATTAAAATTAACTTCATTTATATAAAAATACAGAAAAAGGTAGCTCTACTTTTGAGGGAGAAACTTAAAGTTAGAAGCCTGAATTTTCAGACATTGTAGTGTTGTTGTATGTTGCCCTCTAGTGCAATTCCAGCATATTTTTTATCAAAACAATAGCAATATGTAATATGTTTACTTTCTCTAATAAATCATTCCAAAATGTGACTATTATTTATTTTGATTATTTAAAATATTTCTAGGCTACCCAACAAAGTCCTTTCATTTTATACACACGAGAATCAATTGGGGTTGGAGTATTGTTGCTGTTTAATTCCAAGAAATTTTTTTTAAAAAAATCTTAATCCATAGCTGGTAGCATTTTATCCTGCTTTGCTAACAGAAATATCACAGGACAATGGTGGTTTCTTGCAAACAGAACTGGTTCAGAAAAAAGCAAGATTGCTCATATTGAGCTTGATTAATTAGAATCACTAAAAAGATGAGGTCTCCTTTGAGTTATAGTCAACTTTGGGCAATGTCATACATGCAGTTTTAGAATGGATGTTGTTTGCCACACCGTCTTCCAGGATGTTGAGCCTATAGTCCTGTGGTTTCAAGTGGTCCCCCAACCAAACATGGCCAACATAGTTTAACTTCTAAAATCAGACACAGCTGGGGAGGTACTGCCATCTGTTGGCATGAAATAAAAATTGAGTTGTAAAGTAAGTTACATTGAGGCCAACTCACTACAAAGATCAAAATACTTTTCCAAAACACTAGAATAAGTACAAAGTCCAGAAAAAACTTACATAAATAAATGGCATAGATAGAGTCTGATGAATCCCACAAGTTAAGATATATTCCATAACTACAAGACTCTTATGAAACAGGCCCATATCTATCTCTCACTTATACAGCCAACATCTTTCTCTCTCACATATTTCATAGAATATGTACATGACATTGAGATTTTCACAGCACAACCCCCATGTAAAGAAATGCCTGTGAAGATAAAGTTTTTATCTTTCTCCTTAAAATAGCCATCCACTGTTCTAACTACTGAGAGTTCTATCAAACTCTTTCATATGAGCCTATGATGAAGGCAATGGATCCATAGTTCTATCAGGATAGAAGATCCACATGTAATTTAACGAGTAGAAGTGTTCCTCATTTAATAGCCACTCACTCAGTGACCATTTAAACTTGTGACAGTGCTTGAACAAGTGGTAGTTATAGCCACGTAGGAGATGAACAGGCTGAGCCAAAGGGTGGGATTAAACACATTTGTTTAGAGTTGTTGCTTTCCCACAAGAGACCTAAGTCCAGCTCCTTATAAATTCTGTTGACCCTTATCTAGCGCCAATTTGGCTTGACCATTAGTAATCAGATTCTTGTGTATAAGCTGCATGTACTCACCGTTTAGTGCTTTGAACTCAACTCCTGTTCCTGGTTTCTTTCACCTAACATACTAGTCCTCAAAGTTCTGGCCAGTGCAGAATCACTACAGTCACACAATCACGCTCTAAGCCAGCGGTTCTCAACGTTTGTGTGACGGCGACCCCCGACACACAAACGTTATGCGCATGCGCGGCGCGGCGCCCATGGGGGCAGCGCCCCCATGTGTGGCGCTGCCCCCGGAGGGGAGAAAATGGCAGATCGCCGCCTTTGGCGACCCCCGAAAAATGGTCGATCGACCCCAAATGGGGTCGCGACCCATAGGTTGAGAACCGCTGCTCTAAGCACTTGGCAAAGGGCCCAGATTTCCAACTGTTGCAGTGTCCCATGGTCATGTGATTGTAATTCATGATGTTCCATGTCAGTTTCCCACAAACAAAATCAATGGGAAAAAGCTAGCAGAAAGTTGGGAGTTGCAATCACATGAGGTTTTTGCTTATAATGACCTGCATGGTCCTCACTTAACAGTGGTAACTGGGGATCGCTGGAACTGCCATTACTAAGTGGCAGGGTCACATGACATTGTGCTTTACAACCACATAGCTTATCAACAGAAATTGTGATCCCAATTATCAGAGAACTGCAACTGAATAAAATCATAGCAGAGTACTGTGCAAATGCCCAAACTTAAGGGACTTGTGAGACTTTTGTAATATCTGTAATTTTACACACAAAGTGCATATTATAATCTTGCTAAAATGTGTGCATTATCTTGTATAAGCAGTAGATATAAAACACACCCAAGAAACCATAAACAATTTATATATATGACTGTATTACAGACAAAGTGATGAAATTATCACTTTCTTTTGATTGAAACTCAAATCTAATTTCTTCTTCTAACTGCAAGACTTCAACAAGTTACACAATTTAACATACACATACTTCAAAGGAATTTACAGCCCTACTGAATGCCTCCAAATTAAATATTATTTGCTATTAAACTGCAGCACTATTAAATTACTTTGGCAACCAAAAAAATATTTTGTTCTCCAAATAAGGCATATTGAAAGAATGAGTATTTTCTTTAAAAAGTTGCAAGAATAAGAATGTACTGGAAAGATAAAGCAAGCATGTTTTCATCAGCCCAAGAGATTACAAAAGATGGCTCGATGGCTTTTTTAAGAGGACAAGTCAATAAAGGACAACTTATTCAAACACTCTACAATAAGAAGCAGAAGATCAAACCCACACTTGACAAATTTATTACTTAGAAAACATCAGACAAAGAAGTTGTAACAGCAATATTTTTAATGACCATATTAAGCTTAGGAAAGCTTTGTCTAGACAAATTATCCCAGACCCTATGAATAATAGTACTACCATGATGTTACAAGGATTTATGAGAAGGGGCGTTGGTCTTACCTGAACGCCTTTTCTCAGTACGGAGATGGATAATCCACGGATGGTTTTCTCTGTCTGCCTGCTCTTGAGACCAAGTAGCCAAAGCTTGACACGCCCCCACTTCCTGTGGAGTCCATTCTTAACGAGGGCGAATTGGCTGATGATTGACGAGGTATTGGCTCTCAGCTCCCTACTCGCGGCCTGCGGGCCTTGGGGTGGGTGTGGATTATCCATCTCCGTACTGAGAAAAGGCGTTCAGGTAAGACCAACGCCCCTTCTCCAGTACAGGAGATGGATAATCCACGGATGGGACGTACTAAAGCCTCACTGTCCCAAGGGGTGGGAAACAGATAAGGCCGGTAGATTGATCTCTGAGACAACTTGCTGGAGGACCCTCCTACCAAAGGAGGCGTCCGCCGATGCAAAGCGGTCTATCTTGTAGTGTCATATAAACGGGGAAGGCGAGGACCATGTCGCAGCCCTGCAAACTTCCTCGATTGACGCCTGGGTAGCCCATGCCGCCGAAGTTGCAGCGCTTCGGGTGGAATGGGCTGTGAGATGACTTGGGGGCGGGCAGGGATGATACATTGTAAGCTTCTGCGATACAGCTTCGGATCCACCTTCCAATGGTGCCCGCGGAAACTTTCCGCCCCAAGGTGCCCGCTTGGAAGGACACAAATAGGGCCTCCGATTTGTGGAAGGGTTCTGTACGCTTTATATAACGCCGCAAGGCTCTGCGGACGTCCAATGTATGCCACTGCCGCTCCCGGTCATGTGTTGGATTTGGACAGAAGTTTGGGAGAATTACTTCCTGTGTCCTCTGAAAGAGTGAATTCACCTTCGGTATGAAGGCAGGATCTAACCTAAGGACCACCCTGTCCTTGTGGAAAATGCATAGGTCGTTTCTGACTGACAGTGCGGCCAGTTCCAAAATTCGTCTGGCCGATGTGATGGCAATCAGGAACGCCACCTTTAGCGACAGGTGTCGCAAGGAAACGGTCGCCAATGGTTCAAATGGTGACCGAGTGAGTGCGTGAAGGACTCGCGGTAGTTCCCAGGACGGGTACCTGTGAATTACT